CCAAGCTAAGGGAGATGAGCGGCAACGACATCTTTTCTGATGGGAAGGCGGAATCAAGGGACTACTTTGGGGGTGTACGTAAACCACCCGGTGGTGAAAGCACCATTGCTTTGGTTTAATCTTTTAGCTCCTAACTTGATTGGAATAGTTGGACATTCTTGTCTGTGTTTCTACTTGAACTTCTAATGTTGTTTCACTGATCACTTGCACTTATAGCCTATATGATGAGAGACTTGGGTAGCGAAAGATTGTGGTATGCTTTGTTTAAAATCTCTGGTTTCGATCGTTAAAAGGAAATCCAGCTTTGACTGATCGTTGTATATTCCTTTCAACTGTTAGTAGACAATTTGAGAAAGGACGCTTCATCTTTTCATTGATTGATTGACAACAATCAATTTGTCGATCAATTTTGTAGGAACTTCCATATTTGCAAAGGTCCCACCAGACATCAAATTAATGTCCGAATCACACCAATCATTAGAACACCAAATAAGCTGCGAATTTAGAGCCATGACTATGAACTAGAAAAGATAAACTTCGATTAAGGAAAGTACATCAAACAGGACTATTACCCTTTATTATCATGCCAGTGTCGTAAGTTACAAAAAAGGAAACCTGAACCAAACCTTAAAAACACTACAGGAAACGTAGTCCACATTTGTACGGTGAAAAACCAGGTTCTCACCTTTGTCTTCCCTTCCAGGAAATTTTAAAACTCTGTTCAAACACAATTAGTAAAATGAATTAGAACTTCAAAAGGCAATATTTCATCAACATTCAGTTCCGGAATTAATGAGATAATAGGAAATGGTGGATATCTGGAAAGGACTAAAAGCAATATTACCTCTTTCCTTCAAGAATGAACTCCATTCTTGACATCATGAGGATATCACAAACTAGGAATGAACTTGAACTGTGCTATGGCCGCAGCTTCCTCGACGGTTACTGGATTTCTTGGGGAGAGTCATTCGGTGCATTCGCAATTTTAGCATTCAGCTTTTGCTCATATGCAGCTACATGAACACCCAGTGCAGCACGACCAGAGGGATCCAGATTTTTCGACCATGCGGCATCCCATTCCACTGCTTTTGCAGTACTGCATGCCACACTTGGACCTCCTGGAACCGTTGATCTAGCAGCATTCTGTTGTAAATTAAGAATTTAATGCATCAGGATTTTGTTTGATTAGTGGATAAAGTGTGTCAAAGGCTGGCAAAATTCACACTACAAACATATCGTAAAAAACAACAAAAACAGCACCTTAGGGAAGAATTTCTCAAATATTGTCCGGTAATAATATGCTTCTTTTGTAGCAGGAGTATTCTCTGGGTAGATAAAGTTCGCATTCATCAACATCGCATCAGTCACCTGATGAGGACAAAGCATGTGAGCAAAAACCATATGAACATTTCAACTGCTACAATAGTGAGACAGATTAAGATAAAGCTTACTTGTTTCTCTGCATGGTCCTTCAAACCGTCAATCCAACTGTATCCAACACCGTCACTGAATTGTTCTTTTTGCCTGTATAATATGTGCTATAAAGAAGGGAGGGGTGGGGTTGGGCATATTCAATATTCTTCCTTGCGTAAAGAACAAATGATGACTCAGGCTGCTCTGTTGAACACATAGAAAAGACAGAAGCTACCTTTGGCAAATATGGTTCCTTCTCATCGTCAAATGCATTGCGCAAGACCCACTTCTCTATTCTCCCAAGATCAGGCCTGATCTGCGGGTATAAATTCATGCAAGTAACTAGTGTCATAAACTTTAATCATTGATGATATTGTTCCAACAAAACATGTACAAGAGAGCTTTCTGATAGAGAGATGAAATGAGTTGAAGAATTGAATACCAAAAAAAGAACATGCAAAGTGTACTAAACAAACAAAATGTACCATTTTCCAATCAGGATCTATGCTCATGGCTGTACTTATAAATTCTTTATCAAGAAAAGGGACACGAGTCTCGACACCCCATGCTGAGGTTGATTTGTTGGCCCTCAAACAGTCATATAAATGAAGAGCTTTAATCTGATAACATCAGAAGAAAATAAATTAGAACAAATAAAAAGAAACAGTAACCTCCAAAATGTTGAAAAAGAGGGAAAAGGATACCTTTCTGCATGTTTCTTCATGAAACTCTTTTTTGTTTGGAGCCTTATGAAAGTACAAGTAACCTCCAAAAATTTCATCTGAACCTTCGCCAGAAAGAACCATTTTCACTCCCAAAGATTTGATTTTCCGGGACATAAGGAACATAGGTGTGCTAGCTCTGATGGTGGTCACATCGTATGTCTCAATGTGGTAAATCACTTCCTCAAGCGCATCTATACCTTCCTGATATGGATGAAAAAGCAAAGCACAAACACATTATTTGGTAGTGAACATTTTAAAATGGATTTACAATTGATCCCAGAAAAGGTAATTACCTGCACGGTAAAGTGGAACTCATGATGACGAGTTCCAAGGTAATCAGCTACCTCTCTAGCAGCACCAAGATCAGGAGAACCCTGAATACGATAAAAGAAAGAAACATGACTTCACTCAATAGGGGTTAGTTCTACAACATTAACAGAGGCAATAAAAAAGAACCTTACTCGCCTCGTTATCTTACCTTCAATCCAACACAGAAGGTGTGTAATTGTGACCCCCACTGATTAGCTGCTTCAGAATCAGCCAAATGCCGGCAGGCAACAGCAGCAACCAGTGATGAATCCAATCCTCCAGATAAAAGGACTCCAAATGGCACATCTGTCATGAGTCTTTTAGTTACAGCCTACACAATCAAAGTACAGTAGGAAAGCTTAGAATATAAGACATTCCAATGACTCATCAATTAAAATAGATACATTTAGAAACCCAAAAGCAGCCAGTTTTAGATTTAAAGTTCCTTATAAAATAGTAAACATCAAACGCTGACAATGGCAGAAACTCCTTGAAGAAGAAGAAGATAGTCTGATAATCTAAAATTGAGTAAATCCAGAACGTGCCTTCTCAAATGCCTTACGTAGAACCAAAGGATCATAGTGACCTAATGGTACCATCTCTGTGTACCACTGAGGGTTATACCATCTTCTTAATCCTCCTACAAACATTTGAAATCCACCATTTAGTAATGAATATCAAGAATTAACATTACACTTATGCATACCTTATGAGCTAGAATTACCGTAGTCGGGGACATAACATTACTCCTATGAAAACTGGAACTGCCATAGTTGGGGGAAGAAGATGCATACCTTGTTTGCTGGAATATATATGACCAGGAAGAAAAGAAACAAATCTCTCACAATCATCACTTAGAGCTTTCATTTCAGAAGCAAACCAGATTGATCCTGGGAAGAAGGTAGCAGACATAAATTTTCAAAGATCAATCCGTAAAACAGGAAATAGTAATGTGTGTAAAGGAACATGAATTATCAATTGGAGAGTTTCCCTCACTGCAACTTGAGGTCACGAATCACATGTATAGTGTGAAATTGCATACCATCAAGACCCCATCCCATATATAGTGGGGTGATCCCAATAGCATCCCTAGCTGCAATAAAAGTTTTGGTACGAGTATCAAGAAGGACGAAGGAAAACATGCCATCCAACATGTCCACAAACTCTTCTCCATATTCTTCATACTGGAAAATATAGGCGTTACAAATAGAAAATCTAAAAACAAGCAAATGATCTCAATAAGTTGTTGGCTACTAACAAGGTGTGCAATCACTTCACAGTCACTGCCAGTTCTAAATTGGTGACCCTTGAGCTTCTCTCTCAATTCCTTGTGGTTGTAAATCTCTCCATTAACCTAGTACATGGTTCACACCATCATTTAAACTGACAAACAGTATATGATAGATTTGATCCATGGTCATATGAATATCAGGTCTTTCTATCAAATATTTGAAACATGCTTTGTTTTTTCTTAACAAACCAAAAACGGGGAAAAAATGAAAACGATACAACATGACGGCATAAAGATACTATTACCGTAACAACGATGGTCTTGTCTTCGTTGTAAAGGGGTTGATCCCCGGAAGTGGGGTCTACAATAGCTAATCGTTGATGAGCAAGAAAACAGTTCTCAAAACAATGCAAACCACTCCAGTCGGGACCTCTATGGCGCAGCCTGCAGTTCCAAACAATTCAAAACAAAAAACCATCAATCAATATAAAACAATCCCCTGTTTCCAAACCAATAACTCCCAGGGAATGAAAAAAACAAAAGTAAACCATATTTCGAACAACGCAGATGCCAGAAAGGTGTGCAGAGTATCTCATAAAACAAATGTAATGTTTTATATTGTTCACTCGTAACATTTATTTGGCATTGGCATGAATGTGGAAAGAGCAAGATGATTGCAGTAAAAGAAATGCTAGAAAAATGACCTCCGAGACAACTCGATGATTCTGGAGCGCTTGGCCTGAGAGCTGTCGACGCAGCTAAGAACTGCGAGGATTCCACACATGACGGAAGCTCCCTCGTCCACTCAGAAGCTCAACTGTGCAGAAGGGGATAGAGAATCTAAGCTAAAGCAAGGCTGCGAAACTGGTCGGGTTTATACAAAATTTCAATCGCGGCCGTTGATTCCGATCCCAATTCCCACAAGTTTCTCTTTCCAATTACTGTAATTTTATTCAACGCTTAGGGCCTCGGGCGTTGATAGGACCGGCAGTAGGAATATTAAATAAATAGTTTTGGCCACAGTCACGCACCCAATCCGGTAAAACTCTCAAATCCTAGCGCTCACATTTTAAATTTAAATTATGAATGGGGCAGCTATACAAAATAAAAAATAAAAATAACTAATAAATAATAATAACAATAACTTATAATTTTGTTAAGAGAAATTAGTTGGTTTCAAATAAAATTATGAGATTTTAACACGAGAAGAAATATATAATTTATATAATAACTTATACTAAATATTTTTATAAGACATAGAAATCTCCCTCTAATAAACATATTTTAAAATAGACGAAAATATACCCTCCCACTTTATTTCTAAGAATACGTGTCTTGGGCAGACGACGTCGTATCAACTGCGAGACCTCCCCTGGGGTTCCAGATTATAAACCAGGAACTGCATCTGCTCGCAACTTGTCGACGCATACGAGAGTTTGCAGTGATGGCGTCGATAGCTGCAAAGAAAAGGCCCAAAGATGCGGCAACTAGTGCCGATCAAATGAGCAAGGGAATTTTGCTTTACTCAATTTTACTTGCTCTACAGTATGGAGCTCAACCCCTAATCTCCAAGCGATGTACGAGGTACTTTCTCATTTTTTTTTCTGTTCTTTCAATCTTTGTGCTTTTTTTAATTAATATTCCTTGTGGAGAAGGGGGAACGACAAGAAAAATAAAAATAGATAACTATCTGGGTTTTGCGCCTTCAGTTTGAATTTCAAATATAGCTATGTATTTATGAGCCCCGAATGGTTCTTTGGATTTGAAATTCACGTGTTGAATTGGAGACTCACTATTTTGATGATAGTTTTAATAGTTTTATGTTGGGGGCATTTTTTCACTCTGAAATCTGTTCCCAAGGTGTACAGACAAAATAATTTATAATCTGAACACTGTTAGACGAATTGGGACTTTTTTTATGTGTATCGATTGGTTTTGGGAACTCAAGTTGGGTGATTAAAATTATTATTTTCTTTCTTCGCGCGTTTTTTTTTTCATGATGCTTCAGATGATCCTTTTCCTAAGGGTGCACCATCTTAATCCTTCATATCCATAGCAACATTTAAAATCTTGACTTGTTTTCATGAAATCCTATAGCTTTTTGTTTTCAGTGTTTTGTGCAACTTTCATTTTCTTTTGTAATGGATTGAACTTGTTTTGGGATTTTTGTCTCGCATAATGGTAATTGTTTTCTGCTGTTCTGCACGATGTCAACTCATATGATACTTCCTGCAGACGAGAAGTTATTGTCACTTCATCTGTCTTAACTTGTGAGATAGTGAAGGTATTAGTCTATTACATTTTTTTTTTCATTGACTATGTTTTGGTACAAGGTCTACTTTCTGCATTTATACCTTAAAGAATTTTTGGTCTGTAGGTCGTATGTGCCCTGGTTATCATGGCAAAAGAAGGTAGTGTAAAGAAAACTTTTAGTCAGTGGACTGTGGCTGGTGCGTTGACTGCTTCAGGACTTCCTGCAATTATTTATGCTTTACAAAATAGTCTGCTGCAGATAGCTTACAAGAATCTTGATTCTTTGACATTCTCTATGCTGAATCAAACAAAAATACTCTTCACTGCTGTATGCACTTATTTGTTGCTCAGGTATGTGCCAATGCTTCTTCTGCCTTCTCAAAATCATAATGGAATGCCTAATTTTTCAATGGACTGATGATGAATTTGTGATGTACTATGACATACTTCTTGCTATCCTAATAACTTTTTCGCGTTGCAATTGCAATATGTAAGTACTTGTATAACTTTTTACGTCGTTCTTGTATAGCCTGTCTGTATCATTCCTGCTGTAGAGAGGACCAAGACCTGTACTTCAGTTTCTTTAATTGACACGCACAAACTCTAACCATCTTTCCTTTCTCCCCTTGGATGCATGAAAATCTAGAACTTATTGAAAAAGTAATTTTAGAACGACAATCTGTTCCATAGATTTGGGATGGCAGTAGCCAGTGATTAGAAGGCCATGCAGCCTCAGCTTTTCTAATCTCCTTCTATGACTGGGAACAGTGCATCTAGTGATGTACTGCAATCATTTCTGATTAGAGCATAATATCTTAAACAATTTCTTACAACTTAATTGGCGTAGTATTTGGTTTTATGTATAGGCAGAGGCAGTCCATCCAGCAAATTGGGGCTCTATTCTTGTTGATTGTTGCTGCTGTTCTTCTAAGTATAGGTGAAGGGTCTAGTAAGGGTTCCAGTGATGGCAGTTATGATCAAATTTTGTTTCATGGGATTATTCCTGTCTTGGTTGCTTCTGTACTCTCCGGTATGGCTTCTGCATTGTGTCAATGGTCTTCGCAGGTGTGTGGAGGTTTTTTTTTTTTTTTTTAGTTTATTTAGATACCAACCTCCAAGAAAAAATCTAGTGATTTTGTGCTTGCTCCTTTCTGATCAAGTGTTTTCCTTCTATTACAGGTTAAGAAACATTCATCATACTTGATGACTGTAGAAATGTCTATAGTTGGAAGTCTGTTCTTATTGATTAGTACCTATAAATCTCCTGATGGAGAAGCTATCAGACAGCATGGTTTTTTCTACGGTTGGACTCTTCTCACTATGGTAATTAAGACTCTTCTCAGCTATCAGACAGCTAATCACTTGCAGCAGCTGGAGATATCCATTTTTCGTTTTTAGTTGATGCAATTTCTTTTTGTCGTTTTGTTTCAGATTCCAGTCTTATTCAATGCTCTTGGTGGAATTCTTGTTGGACTAGTCACTAGCAGAGCCGGTGGTGTTCGAAAGGCAAGTTTTGAATTGGTCTTTCTAACCCCTCCGATTGTTCTTGAACGTAATCTCTAAGGATAGGAACCTCGTTAACATTGTTTCATACTCACCGCATGCATGCTATAAATTTATGCTGCTATTTTTTTTTTTTTTTTTTTCTTTTGGATGAAATTTTTGTGGCCACTTATCTTGGGAAATTTCATCATGGTTGCAGGGATTCGTCATTGTGTCGGCACTTCTTGTGACAGCATTGCTGCAGTTCATATTCGAAGGGAAACCACCTTCAGTGTATTGCATTGTGGCTCTTCCCCTCGTGGTCAGTAGTATTTCTATATATCAAAAGTATCCGTACCGAGTTAAAAAGAAGGAATTATAGCCTTTGACTGTTATTTACCTGAGCATGAGATTTTTGGTTCATCACGTGGATGGAATTTGTAGATGGATCACACCATCAAAGCTACAGAAATAACTATATCTTCTTGTTTTAGTCATCTGATTGATATAATTGTAGTTAATATGGGGGCACCAAATACTTGATTTCATCTAATTTATAGATTTTTGTATCTGGACTTGCAACTAAGAGCTGTAATCGTGTATGAATATGATCATTTCATTCTTTTGTCTGGATGAGCATTGGAGAAGTGAAGATTGCATAATGCCAATAGGCTTTTAACATTACCCGAATATTAGCAAATAGGAATTGAAGATGTGAGATCGAAGGAGACTGGTTAAGTGGCACACTCTACCACTGAGCTAATAGTTTGTTTGTTGCCCCCTTTGGAAGGGGAGCCATCACCCGGGCCAATGGGAAACATTACTTTTCTTGGTTTTTTTTTTTTTACATTTATAATGCACTTTATTACACACAAAAAATAATAGTAATAATAATAATTTTAATGTAAAAAAATTATGGTTATGCTTATGAAACGTATATAGTGTAGAAACGTTACTGGTGAGGGCATATTTGAAACTCTTATATTACAAAAAAAAAAAAAAAAAAAAAAAAAAAAAAAAAAAAAAAAAAAAAAAAAAAAAAAAAAAAAAGAAAACTCTGGAAACGGGCAACGGCATCTGAGCAAATACAACGTGGGCTTTGCATTTAATGAAAACTAATTACTCTATTTATTATTAACAAATGTGGCCATCCAAAATTGACCAAAAAATTAAAAAAATAAAAACAAGAAAGGGAGGCCGAAACGGAAGGACGGGGGTTGAGTTTGGCGCGCCCACGCAGTGCAGGGGAAGAGGATAAAAGCGCAAATTAGTTGAACTTTTTAAACATTTGACTTTCGCGTCTTCTCCTGCGTGCAGGTGTGCGTGCTGCTGCGCCACCCGGAGAGAAACCAACTTTTAAAAACCTCTAACCGATTATCCATCCTGATTTTTCTTTCCTCCAGAATTTCCTTTTCCGCGGTTTGCTTTAGATCTATCTTCTTGCTCCACTTTCCTTTGAATTTTCACCGATACACCCATATTGCCTTCATGGCGACGGTTTCTCCTCTCGCCAAGTACAAGCTCGTCTTCCTCGGCGATCAATCCGTTGGTAAAACCAGCATTATCACCCGCTTCATGTACGACAAGTTTGATACCACCTATCAGGTCGTCTTTCTAATTGCCTTGAATCTTATCTTCTTCATTTTATGCGTCTTTTTATCCTCTCGCCTAATTTGATTCGGTAGTTTGATAGAATAGGTGTTTGCTTCTGGAAATGACTTACTTTGACGCATCTCTGTTTCCATATATATCTGAATCCTGATAGAAATTTCTGGGAATTCATGTGGATCCGAGTTATGTGGCGTTGTTTCTAATCGTGTTTGTTTAGGTGGTCACATGGAAAACGTAGTCGGTTATATTTACGAATTTCATCAACGCCTTTGATGACTCGTGTTTCCAAACGGTGATTGATCTTTTTGCAATCGATCAGATTTACCGAATGATTCAGATTACTCTGTTGATTCATCCACATCTGGTGGCTACGAACATTCTTTTTTAGTCAAATGGAAACGTTTCTTTGTTTTCTGTGTAAAAACTACGTAGAACAGGGGAAAAGAACGGGAAATTGCCTCTAATATGGTTGACTATATGCACTATCAGATTATCTAGCGTTCATTAGATCCGAGAGAGGGAGAGGAGAAGATGGTTCATACCTTAAAAAGTAAATATATTTCAGGGCTGTGTAGTTTGAAACGCTTAAAATTTCTCATACCTTAACTACGCGTCGTCAGTGTACTTGGTACTCTGCTTGTGGACCTCCTTTCTTTATGCTGACATGAACTTTATTACAGGCTACAATTGGAATTGACTTTTTGTCCAAAACAATGTACCTTGAAGATCGAACAATTCGGTTGCAGCTTTGGTATGATGTGTTTATTTCTTTCCCATCATTTACTGAAGATTGATTTACCTATCTGTCTTTGTTTCCGCCTCCAGACTCTTAGATTACAATTTTGATTCTTTTCATTATGTTGTAGATTTCTGATTCTTTTCAGTCCGATATGCATCCATTGACCAAGATCCTACAGAATTGTGAGAAATACAAATGGGTCACCCTAAACTTTTCTTTTCTTCTTTTGATGCACTGGCTTGGAGAGAGTTTACAGTAATCATAGAACATGAAATTTGTTGCATCAAATTACCAAGAGAAAGCTGATAGGACATATCGATTTGACCTTACACATTATTTGTCAATTCAGATATTCGAACATGACATTTATATGTTACTTGATATGAATACGATTTTTTCTATACTCCTAATACTTCCCATTCTACAGGGATACTGCTGGACAAGAAAGATTTAGGAGTCTCATTCCAAGTTACATAAGAGATTCCTCTGTTGCAGTAGTAGTCTATGATGTATCTAGTTAGTACTCTCTCTGTATTTTCTGTCCGTTTATTGTGTGATGCATTTTAGTTAGTTGTAGTTGATGTGCTTATAAACTTTGGTGTGAACGTTCATACGCAGATAGACAATCATTCTTGAACACCACCAAGTGGATTGAGGAGGTACGAACAGAACGGGGTAGTGATGTGATCATTGTTCTTGTTGGGAACAAAACTGATCTTGTTGAGAAAAGGTGCGAAATGAAATTTTATAATGAACAAAATTGATATTGTTGAGAAAAAAATTGAGGAATAAACTGTAACCTTTATTTCGGATATACATTAGGATCAGAAGTGTAAGATATTGATAAATTGTAGGGTGATTGAATCTAAACTTTTTTGAGAAGGTTGGAGGCTGCGTTAGGGGCACGAGCTCTGTGTGCACTTCGTTTAAATTGATGAGAAGGGATTTTAGCTGATCTTAGTTGTTGTTGGCCTTCGATTTAATGTACCCAAGATCTACACTGACAATTCCTAACTCCTACGAAATTGTCAGGAAATTTTGAGCTTAGTTGCTATTTCATATTTATAAATGATGAATAGACTTCGCTAGTATCCGGGTATAGTGGAGCAAAGTTCTGACTCCCGGTTACCCAAAAAAAAAAAATATAGACTTTGCTAGTGTCTATTGACACCCTTGTCCATATTTCAGAAGTTCTCTCTAAGTACTGTTTGTTTGGAGACAAATTCAGGCAAGTTTCAATCGAAGAAGGTGATGCCAAATCACGGGAGTTTGGAGTCATGTTTATAGAAACTAGTGCCAAAGCTGGGTTCAACATCAAGGTAACGTTATCTTATGATTTCTGAAACGTGAAACCACAAATCCAAAATCCCCCCTGTACCTTTCTGTTCTCAAAGCACGAAATTACGAATCCTCACTAAATTTGCAATAGTTTTTCTTCTTTGGTCGGTCTTAGTAGGTTTGACTTAATTTGTATTGAAACAAATCTTGCAGCCTCTCTTTCGTAAGATTGCTGCAGCACTGCCAGGGATGGAAACTCTGTCATCAACAAGGCAGGAGGACATGGTTGACGTAAATTTGAAACCCGCAGTGAACTCATCCCATACAGAACAGCAAGGAGGAGGTTGTGCATGCTAGAGGATATGTAAGTTCAATACATAAAGAAAAAAAAAAAAATCCTGCAGAATTGAAAATAGTATACGCAATCATTTAAAGGTGAGAATTAGTTCAACAAATTGACATTCGAAATTTTCTAACGATATGATGGTTGTAATATTGTATGCCATTACATTAGATTCTTTTTGGGTTCCAAAGAACAAATCATTCTTTTGCCCTCTCGCATGTTGAGATCTTTATTTTTGATCTGTGATGGCTTTCTAAAAGTTGACCAACTATATCTAATTGCTGAGTACTTGAAACTATTCCGTTGTTTATTACTAAATAAATATTCAGTGCTCTTTCACAGAAAAGTTTCTCCTGGGCTAGGCTGTTCACGTTACAAATGGTCAGCTCTTGTGAAAACAGTCCATTGAATCATCCCCAACTGTAGTCCATATGGAATTTATGTACTAGAATTCGTCGACATTTCTATGATATTATGAAATTATCATCGAGTCCTTTTCATCTTGTTATCATACTCTTCCGTTTATGAAAATGAGGATGAATTTCCGAATATGGTCAGAGGTAGCTCCCATTTTGAGGATGGTTCGTGGGGTATTTGATTGGAGCAAATTAATTGAGGTGGTCGAATAGGTAAATGTATTGGCATAGATGCTGCACAGTCCCATCACCAATCTTTATCCACAAGATGCTCCCAAGTCACTAGCTAAGCTTTTAGACAAGAAATATATTGTTGGGAGACTACAACCAGATTCATACGAGACCCATAATTTGTTGTTTGTAACCCTTGAGTTAACTAGAGTGTGAACTCCGTGTGCTTGAAATATAAGTGACATTTTAGAATTTAATTAGTACTCCAATTCTGAAAATCATCATCTCATTTCCACTTTATCAATCTGACCTTACATAAGGATCGTCCAAACAACATTTCTCAATAGACTTCATTTTCAATTATAAGAACAAAAAAAATATCCAATCATAATTAGCAAAGGTGATAATACTGTTTTATCCAATCTGAGCCGACATGGGTAGAAGTTATTAGAAAGTGAAACAAATAGAATGAGATAAAATTAATAAAAAAAAAGTGATGGCAGTTGTTGGGTTGAAAGAAATGAATAATCTAGAAGAAATCAACCAGAAATCTTAATCATTATTTTTTATTTGTGGAAAGATATTGCTTCTCCATCAATTCAATGGTGATTTGTGTTCCTAATCCCATTGTGTTGGGCATAACGGTTGAGAATAAAAGTGTGGCGTAAAAAGGAAGCTCTTTTCATCTCCCCCACCTCTCCTTTTTCAAACATTTTATATTTTTTTTTATGCCACCTTTACTTTTCATTCCATTCCATTCACGTACTCAAACAATGTAATTAATTAAGCTCAAGTTACCACCAAATCCTAAACTTAACTACTGAATAAATGGAGTAAATTTTACTTATTTTCACCTTTTATCCGTGTTAAAATGTAGATTCATATGCTAACAATACAAACCTCAAAAAAAAAAAACCCTGATCTTTTTCCCACATTAAACTAAGAATTCTCATTTATATTTAATTTGAATGGTAGACTAGCTAGAGTGTAATATTATATTATGAGGGGAATCCCAGTAGGGTTTTCTTTTATTTATTTACTTATTTATTATTATTATTATTATTAAAAGAAT